GTGTTGGGCTCTTCTCCCAAGTAGTTAGCGATAGGACGAGACGAAATAGGCTCAAGCTGCGCCAGGGCAGGTTTAGGTTGGATATTAGGAAAAATTTCTTTACAGAAAGGGTGGTCAAGCATTGGAACAGGCTGCCCAGAGAGGTGGGGGAGTCCCCATCCCTGGAAGCGTTCAAAAAACGGGCAGAGGTGGCACTTGGGGACATGGTTCAGTCTGGTCTGCCCTTGATTGGTTCAGTGTGGACTTGGTAGTGTTAGGTTAATGGTTGGACTGGATGATCTTAAAGGGCTTTTCCAACCTAAACGATTCTAGGATTCCCCTGCATTTTTCCTTGTTAAAGCCAACAACTTACCTTTGGTCAGTCTCGCTACAAATATTGGGGCGAGGAAGGTACCTTGTTCCAGTTTTTGGACAAAGAAGGTGAGCTAAGAAAATGCACAGCAAGATACAGATGTGTATAGGAGTGGGGGGCTGCTGCCTCCATCTCCACAGCGATGGTCTCGCTTTATGCCACCCCAAACGTTATTTACGTCAGGCTTATCAGCTGCCCTTTCATCTTCTCCATACCAGGTTGCTTTTGAGTACTTCTCCGAGATGATCACAAAAGGATTCCTAAAACCAGGCAAGACTGCCACGGTTAGAGCCCCCCTGCGCCGCTGGACGTGAGCGGGAAGCACCGAGACTGCAGAGCTCAACACATGGTGCACGGCCCAAGTCCGCTCCACAGCGGAGAGACCACCCTTGTCAACACACCGCGAGCAGCATTGCCGAACAGCGGACCGAGGGCTTGTAACGGCCATTTCTCTGAAAATCTGGACAAGTTCATTACCTTAAAGCCCAGCATCCATTGCGGACAGCGCCAACGCGTTTGACAGCCTTTCCACTGGCGGGGAATTCAGACCGAGGCCCCTCAGCCCCCCAAGTTCCACCTGCAAGGCGACAAGGGAGATACACCACGAGCATGCACACGTTGTACCAAAGAACACACCGGCAAACATCGCTTTATTACACTGGTTCAGTTATCCAGACTAACCATAAAAGCTGTTTAGATGGATGTAGACAAACAAGTCAGTGTTTTATGGATTAGGTCAAAGCTCCAGAATCGATACCAGGGAACAGGTATATTCGTCACCAGTTGTTCCAAACGTACAGAAGTGGGTCTTTGGCGGGGAGGGGAGGAGGAGGCTCCCCAGGTGTGCCTGCTACCACCCGAATCACGAGACGGACCCAGGAGGCCGTATTGCAAGAAGATCGGAGGGCGGGGGGGCCCACAGTGTTAATCAGCACAAACAGAATGGAGATATACTGACCTGAGCCTCGCTCAGCTGGGACTACACAAGCACGACACACTGGTACGAGCTACCAAACAATCAGTTAACAATTCGTAAGACTGGTCTAAAAGCTGGAACTAGAAACGACTCCGGGTGGAAAGGCATAGAAATAAATACTTGCTCAACTCGGCACACTCCGCCCGTTTGCAAACTCGTCAGCACCTAGTTACATGGCCATATATTCTTCACTACCTCACAGCAGCAAAATACTATCATTTAAGAGCAGCCGCTGAGTGACTATCCACAGCACGTTGTACACGCTCCAGAAAGAAGCCTGATGCCACCTCTCGGCTTGGTCATCCTCCTCTCCGTCTGCTAAGCGACTGCGGCAGCCTCCAGCCCATAAACTCTGCTGAGCTCTTCAGATGCAACCAACCTGCTCCATTAACTGGAGGCTGCCCTACTCCTCAGCACCCACTCTTTAGGGCTGGAAAGCATCTGGGTCACTCTGTAAACATGGGAGAAACGCAGATTTTGGTTGTCATTCACATACGAGACCAAAACGGGTCAAAAACACGGACGTTTGCCAGTCAGCCGCTCTGCAAGCCTCCTGCCACTTAAAGTTTGGGGTTGCACTCTTGAAATTTTACTGGTGCTGTTTATGTCATTTTCTTCTGGACAAACACTTCCCTGAAAAATACCCTTTAACAGCCAGATTTTAGTATTTAAAAAGTGATACGGTTACGTCAGTGCCTTAGAGGCCGATGCAAAGGCTTAGAGCAGAGGTTACAAAATTGATGCTTAGTGTAGCACTTACATTTTGGAATAATGATCTCAAAAAAAAAAAAAGAAAATGCAGCCCAGGTTTCCAATTTTTTTTCCTAGATGCTGAGTCACCAGCAAAAATGCTGTCTAGCTTGGCCTGCAGACCTCCACTGCTATGCAGTGCGTGGGGATGAATGACGCACTTTGCCTCGGTTTGTTCTTTTGGCTTTTGGCAGGGACGGCGGCACCGTAACAGCTATTTTGTGCGTGACTGCAGAGAACGCCTTTTCCGGTTGGACTCGGGAGATTGCGCAGTCTGGAGTTACCTTGGGAGGAACGGGGCAGCTCTGAAGGATGGCAGAACCGGACGTGTCCCGCACAGCAGACACCAAGAATGAAACGCTCTTGGTAAGCGAACTGAAAGAGCTGAGAATAAGGCAAATAACTTAAGACTGATGGAGTAACTCCCAGTTTTCTGCTTGTAATACACTTTACTCCATGAACCGAAGGAAAGGCAGGTTGGCCTTTCTTATTTAACCTTCCCTTACACTTAAAGAGATGACCAAGGCTAAAAGAAAAATTAAAGAAACCGCTCCAAACAACTAAGGAGAAGCTGTCTGTCTCCCTAGAGCTGTGATACAACATAAAACTATTGTAGGCTATTCCAGGATGTTGAAAGTCAGTTTAGAGAAAGGCAATAAGCCCCGTATTAGAGGGGCTGTAACAGTAGTGTACTGTATTACATTCTGTGCAAGTTACGCAACTTGTCCACAAGCTTCAGTTTATCTATGTTTATCTCGCTGCAGTTCTGTTAATTGGTGGCTGAACACTTTAAACAATCTTACTCCACAGCTCAAGGTAGTTTCAGCAGAAAAAAACCCCAATTAATTTCCTGTGTCTGGTATCTGCACACTCCAAAACAAGTGTTCCTAATGCCCAAACATCAAAATCGAAATCTCACAGTATAGTGGAAATGGATCAGCTAGATTCCCTTTGCGCTTTGTTTTCAAGCCCCTTGTCTCCAAACCTTGTTTTCAAGGAAGACATACAACACACTCGCATGAAGATCCCGTATCGTTGCAACGGTGTTGGTTCTGACTTCCCCCTACACAGACTTTCTCCGACTCTGACTAGGTGTACATCAGGAGAAAGGGTGTGTATGTCAACGTGACATCTTTTCCCCGAGAGGATTTTCACACATTGGAAAGCTAACAATGAAAATTACAAGTTAGGTAGGATAAGGTTGAAACCATCCACCAGGCCAACTTGAGCACTACGAGTTTCTTTCAGCCCTTTGTCTGTTGCTCAAAGTTTCCTCTCCCTTAGGTTGTTCCCATTTTGTTCATCCAGGATTGATGAGTGTCCATCACCATTGCTCAAGCATTTGTCCTTTTCATATTTGTGTTCTTGCTTCTGTCGCCTTATCTCCTTATACCGCAAAGTGATGTCACTAAAAAGAAAAACAAACAGATGTGAACTACTGATGTGAATAAGGAATTTCAATATACACCGAGAACAGCAAGGCAAGTCTGTTCTGGATGCGTGTGCCCTCGAGATAACAACCCACTTGGGTCTTTTGGCCGTAAATTTCTAAAATTGCTGATGGCATTGATTCACTTGGAATTTGTGTTGCTTGCTAGTAGTCTGGCTATTATCACCTCTTTCAGAAGCGTAACGCAGCAGCACGCTCCGCAAGAACAACCACTGCTGTTGCACAGGGTCTCCTCTACAGATCAGCGCGATTCCTTCGGCCTTGTGCAGCTGCTTTTCATTTACTTGCACAGAGCAGCATCTAAACCAAACACGCTTAACTTGGCTCCTTTGTCGCCGACACTGGGACAGCTCGGGCAATCGCAACACAGCAGAGGGTTCTTGCAAGGAAGCTGCAAAACATCTTTGTCTTGTCTAACTCAGAGCACCGGAGGAACAAAACAGGAATCTCATCTGGATCCTCACTCACCCAGGAAGAGCAGGCGCAGTCGGGCACTTAACCGCTCACCTGCTCCTGCAGCAACGCTAACGCAAGTGGTCCCACAGAGACCAAAGCTACCGGAGGCTTGATCCAGAAAGAAAACTGCCAGGATCGCGCACAGAAAACGCCCTGTTTATTGAATAATTCTCACACAAAATCCCTGCAGCTCTAGCCATCCAAAAGAGTTGCAGTCGCTCTTCAGGAGGCGCTGAAGGCTAACGACAGCGTACATTTGAAGACGCGCTTTGGAACGGATGTCCAGAACAACCCCCCGTAAGACCCAGGCCAGACTGAATGTAGCACAGCAGACACCGCTTACCGAATGAAGAAACGCCAGGCTGTCCAGGTGAGCACAAGTATAATCCCCAAGATCCAGCACTGGGTAATGTAGAAAGGAAGAGAAAGCGTGAGTGTATAGGGATCATACTTCACGACAATCAGAAACTCCGTGGCAGTAATAGCAGCAACCAGCCATGCCTGCTGACCCAACTTCTTATGGAACTTCCTGCAAAGTAAATGCACAGATAAAACAAAGTTATTGCTGTAAAATTAAGCATTCGGAGAAATATTCATAAAGACAGCTGGGGTAATAATTTCATTCAGCTTTGGACAATTCTGAAAGTCTAGTTTGGACTACACGTGTACTAAGTCTATGCAGGCTGATGACCTTCATGTTGGTATTACTTAAGTTTCCTCTGAGAGGCTCTGAAAATACGTGAAAAGTTAAACTTCGTCATCACGTGACACAAGGAAGTATCCTCATTTTGAGCATATTGGTAGATCCACATAAAACAATTATCTGACCAGCTTGAGATCAGCTGAGGCTCAGGGTACGGTGTGAAATAGAAGGTCTACTCCTAGATTTCCTCTGCAAACGTCAAGTCACACTGCCATAACCATATTTAACCCCTATATAACTGCATTCTGAAACCTACTCTCTTCCCCAAAAGGTATTCAGTGAGCTGTCGCTAATGATCTCTGAACGGATTTTAAAAGAAGCAAGCTTAATAACAAACAGGGAAGATACTGGAAGACACAAGGACGGCGTTTCACTTCTAGGACAACACAACCTTGGGGCAAATACATGATTAATATTTAATCCCCCGGGTTTGTTTTTAAGCAGTACCAGACAAGTCAATGAGATGCTGCAGTGCTACGTACACGTCTAGTGAAGGACTCATCAATCAGTAATGCCAGAAATTAAACCGCAGTAGAATCAAGGCATCTGTTCAGAGGCTCTATGTGCAGAAGGAGAGACTGGAAATACACCATCTTTTGGGTCACCTATTCCTGCACGGGAAATATATAAACCCAAAACACCTAGAGGCTGCCTTTAGGAAGCCTCATTACCCTCGCGGGGAATTGCCTATTGCTGGAAACCCAGGTAAGGTAAGCTGCTTGATCCCAACCACTTAGATCCTCCACTTCTTCACCTTGTCTGTTCATGTCATTTCTAGACTTGACATTTCTAGAGCTTACTGACCAGACGATTCATATATCAATAATCAAATGGGGTTCTGTTTGGGCAACAGAACAAGCCCCTTTTCATGCATTAGATGGCACTGAAATCCTGCCCACTGCAGCACCACTGGTGCATGCATATGTGCTATCCAACAGCACAGAGTCAAATACATCACTTCCTGCTTGGCAGACAAAATTTTGTTCTTCCAGCACGCATTTCTGCATCTAAAATGGGATTTTATTCCCATTAGAGGAAAGAACCAAGAGAAAGCTACTAGAAGTCGTATGTATTTTTTTCCTTTTTTTTTTCCCCCGAAGGCATGATTTAATTAAATGTTTCCTAAAATCCAACTGATTTGAATCAAGGAAGGCTGAACTTGAGAAAAGCAATACCCTCAACCATCATAACCACCGTTTCACTAGCAAGGACACACAACTAACTTTTCTCAGCAGCCTTTGGATAGTATCTTTTACTCAAAAACCACACAAAGAAGCATTTTGGTGCACTTTCCTGTTAGCCCTGAACCTACTGCCCTAACTGGTTATGAAGACGCTCGAGACAAACGATGCAAATAGAAGCACCACCAACTAAACAAAGGTGGCTGTTCTTTTTGCCCTCTGTTATTCCTTATTCTGCCTTTGTTCTGTATGTCTGTGCTTTAAACACAGGGAGCATCTGTTCCGCAGAGGGCCTCGCCCTCTCACTTAACCACAGTGTATTCTGAAGCATGCTTTCCTACCCGGTCCTTTCTCTTTTGTCCAGCTTGCTGCGTTATTCCATTCCTACCACAGCATAAGATGTTAAGTGAAACATCCAGGAAGAATTCAGTGTAAAGTGGCAGAACTACTGGGGCAGGACAGAGGAGATGGGAGCAAAGCGATAGAACAAACCTGCAGAGGGCTGGGGAGAGAGGGACGGGCACGTTAAGATGACCTCTGCAGTACTTCCAGGGCATCGCAGCAATGGGAAATTCCAGTCTGGTCTCCGCCTGCTCTGATGTACAGCCTCCTGCCTGGCTGAGGCATTGACGTGGTAAATGCTGCCATATTCAGCAGCCACGTAAGCTCCTTGGGCCGTATTTTCGCGCTGGTTTTGCCAGGCAGTGGATGAAAGAGAAGCCACCTTACCAATCCCTGATAGGATTTCCGTGGAGGGTGGCTGCTCTGCTAACGCTTCGCTCTGCTAGGCAGAGAAAGAAGCCTGACAGCCTGTCGCCTCCAGCTGGTACCCTGCCCAGCGCACACCAGAACAGGCCCCAAGCACCTCCGATAGCGCTGGGGCAGAGGGAGCTGCAACTGCACATTTCCTCCCAGTTTTTCTCCCCCTCTCCTCATCAGATGCCAGCAGCGGCACTGGAGAGAGCGCCCTTCCTTTAGCAGGCGTTTTCCTGTTGCTCAGACGTACCTGCTCCACTGCATCCCCTTGGATTCTCAGTATCTGGGAAGGGATTTAAGCGTGGAGAGCAAACAGAGCTTCTCTTCCCTCTCCTGAATCCAGGGCAGTCATCGCAAGTCAAGCACACAAAACACACAGTGTCTTAAACATGAGGCCTGAGAGTCATATTTGACACCAATGCCCAAGTTCAAACTACACAAAATCGTCCGAATACACTGGAATAAAATACGATGCAGCAAATCAAGTGTAGGTTATTGCTGATGCAGATGGTATGACTGCATTCCATTTTAAAAAGTATCCTGCCTAGACCAACTCAGATGAAAGGGCTTCAGAAACTGCTCCAGGTGGTTCATCTGGTATGACAGATTAAATGGGCAGAAACCGGCCTTAACACATGGACAGAGAGAAAAAACGAAACGGCAAACCTCTCACTGTGAACTCAAGCTGTTCAGATGACTAGGTCAGCTCTCTGCTTTGCTGATCTGCTTCCTCATTTGCCTTTCTTTTCTTTCACTAGCTTATGACAGCACACTGACAAAAAAAGAAAAAAAGGTAACCCCAACAGAAGAGCTGTGCAGAACCTAAAGCTGCCAAGGAAGAGAGTTTGTTTCCTGCCCTTCTACTCATGAAAGATTTTAAAGACAAGTCCTTTTTTTTTTGATGAATGAGATTAAAATTCATGGCCTCAATGCAGACTCCTTGGAAGAGACCTGAAGACTTAGAAACCAGGAAGATATGACAAGGTCAAATGCTACAGACTCTTGCATCAAGGTACTTCTGGTCAGGAACATTTCACATAGCCAGTCCTCAAGAACTCAGAGGCAGCACGTTGATCACAATACGAAAGTGGTATGTAAGAGCTGGAGAACAGCTTCAAGGACCACCCCTCCTCTTGGACTATTTCAATTCTAGATACTTTATTGTCACCATGCTCAGACCAAGTTCCTGAAAACAAAGCCCTAGAACTGTCTGCAGACACTAAGAATCCTGAATGAGAGGAGGAGAGTCTTCATATTTGAACCTCACTACTTTCTAGACTAAATATTGCAAGGTTAGCTGAAGAGATCTAATCAGTTTATCTCAGATAATCCTGTCACTACCAGAGAAGGCAATGAGCCATGTTTCTGACAAGGAAGGTCAATGGAATATTCCAACCTTTGTCCCATCAAGAAGTTGAGCGAGTTTCCAAAAGGAAAAGGTCAGGAAGGTTTCTCACATGCTGTTAGCTGGGAGCTTCTGGTTCAGCCCACTCTTCCCCAGCAGCTTCTCCCTACAACACAACAGGAAGAATCCAAAATGGTTCCTTGGTTCAAAATCATGTGCAAGTGAAAATACACCCAGTTAAGCTGGTAAAACGGGGGTAGATTATCTCTGCTTGGATGAGCTGAAATGCACGAAGGAATCAAAGTCCAGTCGCAAAAGCCTTCGCAGAGAAGATATTAGGTAAGACCAGGTGCTAGGTTCTGCCATTTTGCATAAGCAGTCTGATGACATCAGCTCTGTGGTGCTTCAAGAAGAGCCATGGACCTCAGAAGCGAGGGGGCTAGTCACCTTACCCACCAAGAGAAACGGAACAGTAGCTGGTGGTGGCAATGATGAAGACATGCAGTTCAGGATGAGAGCCTCTGCTTGCTGGATGAACTTCTCCAGCTCATTGAAAGAATGGCAACAAAGTGAATCAGCAATGAGGCACCGGTGAGTGATGATTCTCCTAAATTTCAATGTTATGCCATGTGGTTGAGCAGAGGGCAAAGGAGTTTTTCCAACCCAAACACAAGGACCAGAAGATTGTGCATGGTGCTAAGGAGAGGAGCTCACCAGTGAGAGGCAGAGACCTCTTCTTACCTTTGAGTTGGAGGCACGTCCCAAACCAGTAGGTCCGACACCAAGGGCAGGGGCAGCCTGCCACTGCTGAATGTCCTGAAATCCGACTAAGCAATGTGGGTTGACCCTTCTTCCCAGTTCTAGGAGTCAAAGCCTTGCAAGGGAAACTGATCTTCATAGAATGTTGGAACCCTAAATTCTGAACACAGACACTTTTTGTGTTGGTCAGCGACAGACAATGAAACATCCCTTGAAGCCAGACTTTGTCTTAGACTTAAGATGTGGGCTCAGGCAATTTGTGACATTACTACTAAAACTTAAAAGAAAACGCGATTTTGAGAACAAAGCTTTCTCAGGTCTTACATGGTCTGCAGAAACAAAAGCAGCAAGGACAAATACGATGCTTAAGTAGGAACAGTCTGAAAGTACATGCACTGTTGTGTATGGGTGCACTTCGCCTTCAATACACTTTGCTATAAAGGCTCCTCTGATCTGCAAGAGGGTGCTGCAAGAGCTCCAGAGGACCAGGGACCAGTTGGAAGATAGCTCAAGAAAAGAAGCGCCTTTAAGAAACATTTGTTTGGGGTTTTGTTTTAGTTCGGGCCCTGCTGCCCTTAGAAGGCACATCTAAGGACTAGTTCCTGGCTATCAATCTGAAAGCGGAGTTGAGTACTCCTCTGCCCACAAGCCAGTGGCACTCCAGCTAATTTACGCATTACATTCTCAAAAGAGCGATCATTTATTAAAAACTGAGGTTAAAAACAGTGCACACAGAATGCCCTTAACAACAGCTGTTCTCTAACCAGATCTAGTCAGAATTTTACCTCCAAAACAAAAGAACACAAAGCAGATGCTTTGGGATTAGGTCTTTTTGTCCCTGACAAGCTGAACTACTGCCCCGAGATGGATGCCAACAAGCTGGAGCAAATTCAAAATAAAGCAAGTGAAGCTTGACATGGTATATACACAAGAGGACTGGCTTACGGGTCATCCATGAAGTCGTAGATCTCCCTCATAGCCACACCTCCCACATTGACAAAAAAGACAAGTCGTAACAGGACCAAGTAGTGTTCTGGTGGCATCCAAAGGACAAACTTCAAGTAAAACGTGTTCAGCTCTGCCAATAAAAACTGAGAAAAAGGACATTTTAATTACATTCAGAAGACTTCACTGAATGAAGCCTGGAATCTCCCTCTCTCCCTGCATGACTCCCCCCACAAACTCCTACTCAGTATTACTGAGCGCAACATCATCAGTGGCAACAGTGACCAAGAACAGCTGGGTTGTGAACAATTTTATGTGTGTTGAAGAGGTATTTAAAAAAAACACAACAGAAACCTCAACAAGCACTGCCTCAAATTTTGAACAAGTTTATCGGGAGTTTGAAGTACCTGCAGAACTACCGATATCCAATCCTAAAAGCAACAACTCGTCCTTTCACTATCGTGTAAAATCTGAGGGAACCCCAAAATAACAAGAGGCATAAGCAGTACATCCTGGGTTATTCTGTTTGCTTCGGTTTTTTACGCAGTTATGCAAATGTCACTACCAAAGCCAGCTTAGAAGAATTGCATATACATTTTAGCAAAATGCTCTCAAGTGACCTGCCCTGGCAATGTGATTAAGTGAGCAAGTAGAGACAAGTTTCTCACTTCAAAAGAAATTACAACAAATGGTATTAAGCATTGTTTAATCCAAAAGAGTGAGCCAATACCTGAAGCTGCTTATAAACTGTCAGCTGAAGCTAGGCTTTGCTAAAAGAAACATTACCAAAGACTAGCATAAATTCATAAAATCTGCTCCAGCACCTAAACCCCAGTTTCATCAGGGTGCAAAAAGTTGGGAGTACGCACACAGCAACCATTCAGAGAAACGTGTATTTTATTTATGCAGGCACATTTCCTTTACTTCTCCCATAAACGATGGGAACCTCAGCAAGTCTGTTGTGCTATGTGAACTTGGCAAATGCTTTATGTAGCGGAAATCAGGTGATGTGAACTTGTATTCAACTGACTGAGTTTGCAAACTGCCTGGCACTCACTGCTGGCACTGCTGGACGCTGCTTGTGTACTTACAGACAGCACATTGTTCCTGAAGCACACTCAGGGCTGCAATGTGACAGCAGCGTAAAATGCAATGTTATGCGAGCGAGAGACGTGGTGGTGGCTTGCCAAGCTGACTAATGTGTCCTACTCAGCAAACCGTAATAGGGGACTTCACTGCACAGACCCCAAAATAAACCACCACCAGGTTTCATATTCCACATATGTCAAGATGCTTAAAGGTATGCTGTTCTAGCAGCTGTTAAAAAATGGTTATATCCTGTACCAGCAGCAATACAGAAACTGGTTAATGCCCGCTGTCTCTGGAGTCACTAGAAGTGTCACAAGGCTTGTTAAACTTCACAGTTGCTGAACTGAAATAAGTTTGAGTTGCTCAAAACAGAGCCAAGTGACATCCCATGGACAGCACAAAGGCCAAAGTCCCCCAGCTGACAAGAGGCAGGAGTGGGGAAAAAGCACTTAAACTGCCAAGTTTATCCTCCCCATCAGCACCACGTGCGCGATACCTGTGACATGAAGTTATGGATTCAAGATGATGCATTCCCATAATACAAATTCAGCCACTCAGGTGGCTAGATGAAGGAGGTAGACTGTCAATTTGTTGTGACTGCTGGAGAAGCCATCTTTCTCTTCTGTCTAAATGGGGCAGCTACTGTACCTGAACTGGTCAAGCTGGACAGTGTTAGCACCATCACGTGCTACATGTTCAGTGAAACATTAAAAAAAAATCTAGGATAATTGATTATTTAAGTCTGTATAAAAATATTATCTGAGGCAAAACTGTGTGCTTCAGGAGCCATGCTGCTCAGAGCTAACATGTACAAGCCCGAGGCTTTGGTTACGGTCCTCCCCAGCTGTAATGTGATGTGTATCTGCTTAAGACTGAGAGAAACAAGCCACCTTCATCCAAAACCGATGGTTTTGGTAGCAGCAGTTACTTGCTGAATTATCTGTAGATCACAGTTCATATTGCTCACATTGCCAATCAACACTGTTCAGCAAGCAAGAACAAATATTTATGCAATGAATCTGTAAATGGTACCAGAGACACAGAAACAGACACCTTTTCTGCAGGATTCGGAAGCGATCTCTTCCAGCCTCAACTAAAGACACATCACCATGTCAGCGTTTCAGCCTAAGTTACCCTCGGACAGTTGGTTGAGTGTTACAAAACATTAAATCAAAGGATAGAGAAAAGACAAAAGTTTCCTTACTACAAAGATTATGCCACAAACTGCTAGCCATCTGCGTAAGCTGGATGCTGGCTTCCACTCAAATTTGACCCAGCTATATGGGGTGAACTGGAAGACAATTCTCTTCATTTTACCTCTGAAAAAAAGCAGAACACATTCTTGCAATTTTAAGAAACAGCACATAAGGGACATCTACTAACATTTCCATTTGAGACACCAATTCATGTATGCAAAATGCCTCTATTAACTCCATAAAAATTACTACTTAATGAGATTAACATTCTGAGTTAGAAGGCTGTTATTTGGACTATCATTTTAAACTTTAACATACTACACCCATTGTAGTAAGCAGTTCCTCAGTTCGCAAAGACACACTGCAGGAAAGGGTAGTTCATTACTGGTACAAGACTACAAGGAATTTGTCAAAATTTTAAGTTTCAGTGTCCCAGTTACTACGAAGTTCTGATTACTAGGGAATGCATTATTTGCACAAGGACCAAATATATCCTTGCTGTCAATGAGAGTATGATCCTGACTCGGATTCCTGCATCTCCTTTAACAATTTCATTAAATAAGCTCATTTCCACAAGGTGCCCTCCTTCCCAGACATCAGGCAATGCTCACAACAGACAGGTGTATTTTCAACAAGTTCATTTGCAAGTTAAATAAAACTCTCATAAACAAGCTTCCACGCAGTAGTACGTTACTAGATACTTGAGTCATCTAAACACACATGAATTCTTTAGTTCACGTTAACCCTGACCGAACAAGCCTTCAACAACCGAGATCTTTAACATCTCCGCACTGTGCTCCTGCTTGCGGAGTTACTTTCTACACCAACTTACTTGTATGTAGGAATGTTCCAAAGTCCTTGCCATTTGTATGTTTTCAAAGAAAGCCAAGACAGAGTCTTCATCCCACAGTAAATTCCTAATCCGTTACATAAGATCACATCCATTATCCACTGGAAGGAGAAAAACACAGTGATGCTGGAGAAGCAGCACTAAAGCTTGCACAAGGAAGACACTACAGGTACACATACTTGCAGACACACTCTCAGTCACGAGGATGGAACATCCCCAGAGAAGAGGTGCATGAACTGCCAGAAAGAATCTCAGCTGCCCAAGTCTACTCAAATAAAGCAAAAGTGCTCCACAAGTGATAGCTGCAGCTTCTCTTTTGCTGTATTAATTCTGCTACAGAAGAGACCTCTTCCCACTTACCATCAGCTCAACTCCACTCTGCTAAGTGAGAACTTTAGACTAAACACACCAAACAAAAAAATCTGAACATGTTCCTACGGACTGGATTTTACTATGCCCAATAACTTAACACAGTCTTTAAGCTCCAGGCTGCCTCCTAAAGAAATGACTTCTCTCCAGGCTCAAGATGTGAAAATAAACAAGTGATTTCTCCCCATGCTCTGTCTTACTGCCAAGCGTTAACTCTGGAGATGGAGCTCTTGAGCTGAAAAAAACCTGGCTGTCCTCCACATTCAAAGCAGCAGAGCACAGAGTGTTAATTTCATAAGAAGTTTTTTTGAAGGCAAAATAGCTTTGCTCAATGTCTTTATACATAATGCATTTACTTTCATAAATACAACCATGCAGCAAATCATCACAAGCTTGGGAAAGAGCTTGTACTGGAAGAATAAAAACAAGCCAAAATAACATAAGAACTGCAGCTGTGTGCCCTGAATGTAGATAATTCTGATCGCTCTGGTAACCAATTTACATTTCATAGGAAAATAAAAAATAATTTTAAAAAGTGTGTCACTAAGCTATAGAGCTTGTTTCTTCCATAGAGAAACGAGATCACAGTAGTCCCTCTGGCTTGACAAAATACACACAAGCAGTATTTTAGTGCAAGAGTGGTTACAGACTATCACGTGCAAAGACCATACAGCTTTTCAGGAAGGCCAAAACTTTATCTTTTAAAACCTTTTTATAAACCACACCAGAAATTCTAAACACAGTAATATTTACTGTTTTCAGAAAACAGTGAAGATAGGTTTGCACAGAAGGAAGAGCTGGACACAAATTGCACTGAGTCTGGTTTTGGTTTGGTTTTTTTTTAACAGGCAAAAAAAAAAAAAATCACTGAAACTTTATACACAAAATTTTACCTTTTTCTTAATAGCAGATTTTATTGTTTGTACCATCACCAAATATTTGAAATTGTTCAGGTAAAGCTTTAGATTCTTGCTCTGATGTGAAATGAACCAAAACAAATATTCAACCCTGTGCAATAGTTTGAAAACCCACAAAATTATACAAACAGTGACAAACATATTACAAACTCAACACGGAGAAGCACTGATGCTCCGGCACGGCAGTAGTCACGCATACACCTTTGGCCACGTGCACATGATATAATTTAGCTCTCACCACTTCCTACCCCCTCCCTTTAAAATATATACTTCCATTTCGACAAATACGTTACAATCTATGCAGTACATACGTGATCCCACCAACATTCGCTGAAGTTTGGAAGCTGGTGTTCCAGACTGTACTCCAGAAACTCGAACATTACACTGATGATCATACACATCCACCAGTCTCGAATCATCAATGTCTATATAAAGGGAGAAAAAGGTCTGTCAAATATCCAAAGTTGCGCAACATACTAAAAACCATTACAAAACTGAACACTTGCACACCAGACCGAGTAGAACCAGACACCACTTAACACTAATGCCCTTTAGAAATCTAAATAAGGAGAACTCCAGAGATACTGTAGAGACACTGCTCAGATTCAGTTTTGCAGCAGTGTATGGAAAAACTATGGCTTTTTCCTCATTTCAAAACAGATCACTTAAGGAATATGAGATTAACCCTTCCAGACTCTGAACGCAGAGGACACACATGGTGTGCTTTGTTTACCGGTTATTTCTACGGTTTAATATCTTGCCTCCAGTATCCAGAAAAGGATCAGGAAACTCATGACAATCTTATTTTTATCATGTGATAGTCTAGTAAAGCCAAATGCTCACAGGCCTCTAAACTTAGCAAGTATGCAGCACAACAGACAAGACAGACACTGAAGAGTACAGATGATGACATTAATACCATTACATGAAAGAATAAAGGCAGGCAAGATGGGATTCAGAAGGAATTTAGTTAAATGAATGGAATTACTTGGTGCTCGACCACCACAGGTAGCATCATCCTAACACTGCTCAAAAAAAGGCTTTTCAGAGCCTGCTTAACACAAACTTTTTGAGTCACCTGCACTAAATCTCAGCTCTGACTGTGCTGGGACACCTGAGTCTACTTTATATCAGCTATCAGCTTGCCAGGGTGAGCAATGAAAAGCAGCATCTTCCCCATTCAGCAATAAGGATTCAGCTGAGCTGCAGTCCTAGAACATACAAACCATCTCAGCCTACTGCCAAAACACGGGAAGAGATTTGAGATAACACCTTAGCTCCTATTTGTAAGTGGGTAACAGCAGAGAGAGCCTGCACACCTGGTCTGCTGTATCCTCAGCAGGGTGCCTAGGTGGAAGGTGGTAACCACACATGTGCTAGTAATGATTCTGCAAAAGTCAACTAGCTTGGTGTTGACCACCTCAACCAGAAGATGGAAAAATATAAGATATGCTTTATCACGTTAGTCGGACAACATGTGACCTAAACGCCTGCAAAGCAAACGGGGAGGCCCACAGTAATTTCTGATGAATAAGGCACATTCATTTTCAACATTGCCACTCTGGTGCTTTGAGATACAGCTTGAAAGAAGACAAGCCCAAATACAGCCTCCTCTCTGTTTATGAAGACAACACGCTCAACTTCCAGCTTTTTATAGAAAAATATGTTAACTGACAAATAAGAAATATAGCAGCCGGTTTCCTTCCAGCTTGGCAGCACAGAAACACCTTGCAGAGTACGCTGGGCTCTTCAAACCAGACTGCAGGTTGACAAGATGACACATCATCTCAAGCATTTCTGCAGAAACAGTCTCTTTAATAAAAACTAGGCTTCTTCCAGACCAAGACAGATAATAGCTTGACTGAGTGGACTGGCATATTGAATTCTATCCCATCCCAGTTCCTCAGGAACGTGTTACTACTCCCCTCATGTCTTGTTACCGGGCTCTCACTATTTAGGCATTTTTTTCCTCAGTATGACATTATTTGTAAAAATAAATACAGAGTGTAACTGAAATGCTATTTTTATATTTAAGTTTCTAATGTAATTCTCTTGGATAAAGAAGATCCCAGTTTCTCCAAATTTAAAATTCTGTATACTGATAGAGCAAGCCACAGACAAGCTGATCTGAAGTCAAA